TGCAACTGCATCTGGCTGCCGAAGTCGATCGCGGCCTGAGGGGCCTCGTGCAGCTCCGCAATTGCCCGCGCCTCCTTGCCGCAGCGCGGCGTCGTTGCGCCGCTTGCAGCGCGCTTTCGCCTCCAGCGGGATCCGCCGCTTGGCCGGCAGGTCCTGCGAGGGGCCGCCGTGTCTGAGGCCGTGGGCGGCGTGCCCGCGGCGGGCGCGCCCAGCGCCTCGGCGTCGATTGGACCCCGAGCGCCACGTCGCCCAGCGGGAAGGTCCAGATCCGCTGGTCGGGCGCGCGGCAACGCTGCTTCAGCCTCAGCAGCCGCGCGCGCAGGGAGCCGAGGTCGTCGAGCAAGACGCCCGCGCCCCAAGCGCCGACCTCGGTGGGCCTCTCGAGCTCCGCGAGCCCGAAGAAGGCCCCAGCGCGCCGGCCGGGGGCGCGGCGGCCACGGGCGGCGCCAGCTGGGGCGCCGCGAGCGAGTCGCACTCGCCGGGCGGCAGGCACCAATGGAACGACAACAGGACGGCCACCGCCTGTTCTATCATGCCTCGAAACAGCAGGTATCCCACAATGGCCAGCGTCAGCGCGCAGGGCGCCTGCAGGCGGGTCTTGCGCTGCACCGCCTTCGCCCATCCAGTGTGCGCTCGCGTCGAGTGGGGGGGGGGGGGGCTCCGGTCTCCGTGGCGCCCGACCTCGGGGTAGTGGAACTTCGCCACCGCGAGGGTCTTGCTGGCTACATCCCCCACCATGTCCACGAAGAAAAGCTCGTCCATGCACGGGGCCTGCGCGCCGTCGAGGCCGTTCGGGCTCGCCCAAATTAAGACCTGACTCCAAGACCCGCCCCAAAAACATCCTCATCTTCTAATCCTGCTCCATGGCCTCCGCCCGGCTCTCGAGGCAGGCCAGGTGGGGCGGGCCCAGGAGGGGCCCCGATGTTTGCAACAACCCTCGACGTCAGGTGCGCAACGCCGCCGCTGCCGCGGCGGAAGGCGCAGCCTGCCCGACCGGCCAGCTCCCCTGGGTCGCCGCCAAGGCGCCCGGCAAGGGGTCGGGGAGGCTGGAAGAGGCTGAAGAGGATCAGCAAGAACATGGCCAGCGCCGCCCTCAACGGCTTCGTGAAGCTCCTTCTGCCGTTTGATGCACCGCAAGCCTTTGCGCGCGTTGTTTGCCGGATCCCCTTCGGGCGAGACCCGGCGAACGCTCGCCTGAACAAGGCAACTCAGGGCCAGGGCGGCGACCTCGCGAAGGACGCAGGGAAGCGGAGCGGCCCGTGTCCACAGCTAAAGCCAACCTCACGTTGTCGAAGAAAGCGAGAACCCGATGACCGAAAGCCCGCTGGCCCCGCAGAGCGCCACGTAGGAAGTTCGAAATCGCGAGCCCCTCAAGACGGATAATGTTTGCTAGGCCCCACCATTGAAAAGGGCCCCGCGATGCGCCGGGTCTGCGAATTGGTGAACCTCGCAAAGATCTTGTCGCAGGAATTTCTGAACTCGCCAGCCTGCCGCAGGCTGTCTGGCAGGTCGCCGGCCGCGACGACGCTGGCAGTCTCCGCGCTAAAGGCGTGGCTCCTAGCCGCTGCCGCCCCCTGCCTGTAGCGCCACCTCCTGGCAGTGCGACCCCAGCGCCCGACCAGCTCGGGACCGGCGCTGCGGGCGCGAACCCCGCAGCCCCAGGGGGGGGGGCGTCGCTGGCAGTCGCGCTGGGCAGCCACTTGCCGCCTGCGTGAGCGACGAAAATCGGGCGCAGGTCACGAACCAGCTTCAGCCCCAGCATCGCCAAGCCCCAGAGAGGGGCGACATGCTGTTCGCGGGACTTCACGAGCGCGCGCGCCGAGCTGAGGATGGAGAGGGTCGAACGCTTCAGCAGCATAAGCCGCGCGGCGCGCCCCGAAATCGCCGCCAGCGAGCTCCCGAACCGCGGGGCCCCCTGGGCCATGAAGTTCTCGACGTAGCCTGCTGCCCCGAGGCCGAGAGAGCCGGGGCGGCTGGAGGGCCGCGCTATCCTCGACCAAGACGTCGGCGTTGAGCCCGCCGCGTGAGAGGCCCTCATCGGTGGCCGGCTGTCAGAGGCGCAAGGCTCAGCCCCAGCCCGCGCGGCAGCGCCGTCGAGGTGGGCGTCGGGGAGGCCGCAGATGCGGGCCGCGAGTCGCCCGCGATCGCCCCGCGAGCCCCGCGCGGGCGGGCGGCCGGCGGAAGCGGGCCCCGAGCTCGGGCGGGGCCGAGACGGCGTAGAAAGCGTTCTGCGCGTCGCCCACCGCGCGCCGCGCCGCGCCAGACTCGCTGGTCTCCATCTTCGAGCAGGCCGAGGC